AAAATCTCTGAGGAATGTTTCCAGCACCTTGTTGAATCTATGACACAGAAAATTAAGGCGGTTCTTAAGGCAAAAGGGAGTCGGACCCAGTACTTGAAAGGTATACCTAATTAAGTGGCCAGTTTGTGTACATATTACTTACCTTTTTACTTACCTGCAATTCTTGGATAAGTAAAAGATGATTTTCCCCAAAAGTCAGCCTGAAATTTGAAAGGCATTTAATTTAAGCGTAAACATGTTTTTATTGTGTGAAGGTCCTGTCATTTGTTATTTGCCTTTTATTGTTGTCTCACATGACATATTGCAGATTCTGATTCAGGTAAATTAAGTATTAACAGCTGTATTTCTTCCCTTCAGGTTTATTTGTCTTTGCTGCGGATGTACCTGTCACCTCCTGATGTTCACTGCCTGGGGCCCATCAAGATGGAGCTGTCGGAGCCTCAGGCCAACCTGCAGGCGGCTCTGCAAGTCCTGGAGCTGCACCACAGCAAACTCAACACCACCAAGGTAAACAACAACAGAGTGGTACTCATGTTCCTCCCCTGGGGGACTTGAGAACAAACTTCAGTCTGGTAATACTCAAAAGTAATTCCGATTTTATCCCCTCGTATTACAACATATGTTTACTGCATTAAGACTGTGTCAATGTCAAGAGAAGTGCTTTTGTGAGGCTGCTAAAGTCTTGTGACACGTGTACACAATTGTTGCACTTGAATTCAACTTTCCTGCTCAGCAAACTCCATCTGGTACTTCAAGCTGCTCATCAAATAAGAAGGCATGAATTAGTTTCTAATTCAGGCCAGGGATTTTATTATTATGAGCTGACTCTTTGCCTTCGTTCAGATTTAGTAATCATTGCTAATTCAGACAAGACGTGAAAGTGGAGCTGATAAGAGCGGGCTTGTTTCGGCTGGATTAAGATGAGATGGAATAACATGATTAACGATGACACACTGAATTAGTCATTTGGCATTTGCTGTGAAATTAAAACAGCGACTGAACGGAGCACAACTCATTTAAAGATTTGATTCAGTTTGTTTTTGGAGTGAGACGAGAGGGGTTCGCACAGTTGGGGGTAATCAGGCTGCTGCCTTTGTGATAGAGAAGATCCAGCAAACCAAAAAAAAAAAAAGATTTCCACCAGGTTGCGGATCTCCCTCGAGAGGGCGTCTGCGTTGCCATGTGAATACCTTTGATGAATTTCCTTTCATATACCTGTTTTGTACCTGAACCCAGAACCAAAATAGCAAAGAGTTAATTGAACAAAAGCTGTTTTGTTCAAGAGTAGCTCATGACCTATTTTGCCCGTCAAACCGTCACGTCACAATCCAGTGAATGCTGTCTAGTAAAGAAGATTTATGGAGTTATTCGGTTTTGTTTTTCAATACAGTTCAACCACACAGTCCTCATCGAGAAGGAAACACTCAGCTGATTGTGTAATTGTTGTTTCCATATTTTATCACGAAGAAACAGAGACACAGTATTTGACACTCCTCCACTGTGTCACTGTAAATATTTAAATTCATAAAAAGAGAAAGTTTATCTGTCATGAGTTATATCCTCGTTGTAAAATGCACCGCAACAGACTGTGTTGTATCCGTGATTTAGAGCAGATGCGATTGTGTGTGAAAGGCACCACTGATCTGTACTCAGCCACAGACATGTCAAATTAAGAGCCCCTCAAGGGGAACAAACACTGCAGGTTTATATGAATGTTTAGGTTCAGAGCCCGCAGCCGGGAAGCTCTCCATCTTGTCTCTCTGTGCCACTCTGCCTCCCTGCGCTCCCTTATTGACTTTAATGGCACCCTGCTTTCATTTCCCCTGGCCTCACTCCCAGACTCTGCCTCGCCAAAAAAAGAGCACGAGGGCGACAAGACGAGACTGTACAAAACATCAGGAAATACTTCCAACATGAAGCATATTTGTGTGTTTGTTGGTCAGTCTTTAGTTCTGTTTGTATAATTTCTTGGCTGAAGCTGCAACTAAAGATTTATTTCATAGTCAAATAGTCTGTCAGTACATTCTTTTAAATATTCAGTCTGTCTGAAAATGTCTGAAAATACAGAAAAACAGAAGCTTCCAGAGCCCAAGGTGACATCGTGCTGGGAGGAGAGCTGGCAGCAGCTCTTGAGACGGACCTTCGGTTGGCAGCTGTAGCAGCTCGAATTCGACCAGCACAAGCCCCTGAGCGCCGGGAGTCACAGCAGGCTGGTGGCCAGTGGCAGCACCAGGTGTAATCTGTGTAACAGTAGCGACAGAAAGTTTATTGATCCAGCAGGGACTCGGGGCTGTCTGGTTCCCTGAAGCTGGGATTTGCACTGGCTGGATTTGGGTTGCTGCAGCTGCTGTTTAAGGGTCAGTTTCCGGAGCTGCTGCACATTCTCCTCTCAGCAAAGTAGTCCACAGCGGCGATGAGTGAGGTGCTGGACACAATGTGATTCAAGACTCTAGCTAACGTTAGCTACAGAAACATGAACTGTTAGCCACAGAAGGCTAAACTATTAGCAGGATATTCTCTTCATCTCTGGGGGGCCTCCCTAGTGTAGTGGTTAGAGCACTCGTCCTCCATGCGGAAGGTCCAGGGTCTGAATCCTGTTGGAGTCAACGTCAGTAAAGGTATGCGGTCGCAAGAGGTTCCCACCGCCAAATCAAACGGGATCAGATCAGATTCCTTAAGGAGGCCTCAGGACAAGAGAGTAACTCCCGAATCTAAGCCAAGTCCTCATTGAGGGTGCGTCTCAAGCCCATTGTAGACGGGAGGTTCCAGATGTAAAAGCGGATTCAGTTCATTCCCTTCATCTCTGAAACGCTTTGTTTTATTTCATACTTTGTAAGACTACCTTTCAGACTCTCTTTTTGATAAGTCCGACTTCCTTTTTGGGTTGCTTTGCAGTGTAGACCATTGTTGCCGATGCTGGAATAGCAACTTTCTCTGCAGGATTCACTGCTATTGAATCAGACTTTCGCCGGAAAGATCTCCAGGCACGTCTGCATTTATGTTACAGCCATTAAGAAAGCCCTCTCTCTGAAATGTCCTGTGATTTGCCAAAGTGTCCTGTCACGGGCTAGATTTTCTAAAGCTTGAAACAGAGCCAGGAGGAGGTGCAGAGGTCAAGTGTTCTCTCAGACTTGAATTACAATATGCTCAAAGTTTATTATCGTATTTTTACCCAGTGACGCCAAAATAAAACTGCCTACCTCAGCTCTAAATTTGAGAACCTGGAGTCGGCAAATGTCAGAAGTTTTTACTTGCTAAATTTGCAGATTAATTTTCTGTCAGTGTACCTATCCTTTAAGTACAAATTCTTGTCTCAAAACACAGTAAAGTTTGTTAGTTTACAAGTGGTTGGGAGCAAGTGGGACCTCCCATGTAAGTAGGAGCTACTCAGAGCTACCTCAGTCTTTTTCTGTTGCCGACTGAGGGGACCCACATGAACTGCAGGGCCAGTCTCCTTGTTCAGTGGCACTTGAGCACAAAAGATGTTAAAGAAGAGGAATTTTCATTAATGTTCTGCAGCTTTTCAGGAACAAACCTGCATTCTGAACTTTGCTGCAGCCAGGTCCTGCTCATTGTTCTACTGAACATCCACAAAGAGTGACTGAAGGCTTACAGGTTTTTCTATCGTCAAGTTGACTGCTTGGAAAAATAGTTACTGCAAGTTGGCATGTCGTATTAAATAATCAAAATACAATGCATATTATCTGGCGTATGGTAGTGGTGTAATTACATAATTATTTATTCGCTTACTGTTGAATTAATCAAAAAAACAAAAAAAAAGACAAAATACAGAACCGAAATTGAATTATACACAAATGTCAGTTCTGTTTCCCAGTTGTTTCTCAACAGGAAACTCTCACTCTGAGCTGCCTGAGTGTAACAAGGCCATTTGTGCTAATGTAATTTAATTATATTGAACAAGAGGACAACAAGACAACTGGCCTTGATTGTGTTTAGTCTCCCTGAGCATTCACACAGAAGCACACAGCCGGGTTATTTTTTATTTCTTAAGGTAAGAGGAGATGCTGTTGGGAAGTCATGTAACAGCAGATTACTGCTCCCACGAGGGAGTAATTGAATATCATTACTTTAAGATGATTAATGAGTTATGTTAGCTTGTTGTATTGTGCTTCTAATGATCGTGGCGATTACTCAATTCAAAGTCTTTATCACTGGTTCCTCCAACTTCAGTTCAGAGGTTATACTTTTAAAAACCAGTGTAATTTGCTTTTGATGTCCTCCATTTAATCCTCAAAGTTCCTCCTCATACTGACAGAGCTGTAATATTTTTTAAAAAAACTAATTATGTCTGGTCAACAGTGTTTAAAGGTACACTGTACCATGCAGGTTTTTCCCTAAAAGACAACGTAAGGACTCATAGAAGAAGTGTGTTGCGGTGTATTTATTTGCAGAGACTCTGCCCTCTGCCTGCATTTTCCTATTTACTTCTTATTTTGCCGTGTTCGGGATGTTATTGGGCTGCAACCTTTGGGCAGGGGTGTGTCGCTCCCAGCCAGTAACAGCGCGCAGTACATAATAAAAAGGTAGCAACCTGGGCCAGACTGTAAGCAGCACGCATCCAAGTGGAAGCTGCGAAAATCATGGACACAGTGCTGAAAAACGCTAATATAGTGAGGCGAAACGCTAAGCGGAAGAGTTTGTTCCTAAACGAGATTGAATCTGAGGTCGGCTTTCATTTTCATTGGGGGCATTGAAGGAGATGATGAAGAGTGACCCGGAGTTTGCCTCTTTCCTGTTGGACAGGTTGGTGTCGGTTAGCTCAGTTAGCTTGCATCATCTTTTCCATTCCAACAAATGTAAAGCTCCTACAATAGGACGGTAGCTTGCAGTGTATGTTCAAGCGGTGTAGGGAGGAGAGGCCAAGATTGAAGGTAGTGTTTACAAACAGTAGCCGGCACTTCCTGCATTAACAAGCCAGCGTTTCTTTGTTGTTGTTTGTTTTTCCAGGCCATCAATCTGCTCCCAGCAAACACCCAGATCCGAGAGATCCGGGTCTTCCTGGAGAGCGTCCTGGAGGAGAAGGCACAGAGGAAGCGCTGCAACCAGGTGCTGAAAAGTCTGCTGCAGGCCGAGTTCCTCAGGGTGAGTCCTGGAGAATTTGTTTGCACAGTGGTTCATGTAAATTAGAGTAAAATTTCAGGTGTAACATCTTATGTACTCGGCCAATCACGTGGCTGATGGTTGAGTTAAGTCAAAGACAACCCTTCCTTAAGAAAAGTGGACTCAGGAATCAGAGCTTCTGTCACATAGACTGTGTCAAAGAAGCGGACGTAGCCTCTAGGTCTGAAAAAGTGAAGCCTAAAACCTGCATTCTTGCTAATGGCCAGAGGGGGGCGACTTCACCAGTGTCCCATTGTACAGTAGTCTATGAGAAAATGACCCAACTTCTCACTTGATTTATGACCTATATAAACTTTTTCCTATCAAGTTTATGGGTTTAATACCTACTTTAAAGTCTTCTTAAATGCAGCATGATGTTCATTTTGCAAATTACGTTCACATTTACAGTGAAATAGACACTAAAGTAGGGCATGTTCAGGGTCTGGCTACCTTGTGATCAACAAGTCACTAACGCTCTGTATCCATGAACTTGTTTGTCATCTTAGAACTCTAATCCTTTAAGTGTGTTTTCAGTTCAGTGCAGAGTTAATTGAAACATTTTGGTCACCTAAATATGTTTTGATTAGCGTTCAGCTGTACAAAAAGACATTTTAAGGAGTTAGCTGTTCATCTTTTGCCTTTAATGAATTTTGTTTTCAGCCTGTTCTTCGCTAGCCAATTAATATCACAGTTAATTATTAAATACAGATGCACCTTCCTAACAAAGCTAGCTGGCGAGAGTTAGCTGATAACTTAGCGTTTGATATGCTAACACTACCTGGCCCGACCAGGCTGGTAACCCAATAGACAGATCCATCCCTTGCATCTTCACAGGTCGACCCTGTCGTCCAAATGTGGTGACTTGTGGCTCCAGAAATCCAAGATGGTGAGGGACAAAATGCTAAAATTAAAGCTTTAAAAAAGGTGGTCCACAAACCAATGGGTGACTTCTTGTTGGCTAGGTCCACTTCTTTTTATACAGTCGATGCTCTTATAACTTCCCTTCATCTGAGACGTTCAGTTAATTTTAAGGACACTTGAACATGGCAGATGTTTGCATATGTGACACCACAGTCCTCGGGTTGAAGGACAAATTGTCAGGCCCATGTGACCTTTCAAATGTAAACGATTAGAGTGGAATTTAAACATTTAAACCCTGAACAATGTGGATAAATTTAGCAGAGAAGTAGAGCAGTTTGTAACTCCTGTCTTATACACACTGTATTGTGTTATATTTCCAGGTGATGTGACACAGAAACCTTACAGTAGTTGGTTTTATGGGGAGAAAGTCTCCAACACACAGGATGTGGTGTGTACAATCATAAGCAGTGACAACCACCTGTGTGAAACAGATAAAAGAGCACCATTATATAAACCTGTTTACAGAATATCAGAGATGATGTTGTAGTTGTGTCGTGCAGGGGCTCCTGTCATTAACACACAGCAGGGTCTAATTACTGCCCCTGGTCACAACTTGCATGTCTGTTAGCTGAGCGCAATTCTATGAAAGATTGATTTTTCCTTTTCAGATTGATGTGCAGCCCCAATTAATTTGCATTTATTTATTTTGTACTACAGCGTACACATCTGCTCTGCGCATCACATGATGTCCTCTGTTGTCCTTTGAGAAAAAAAACACACTGTTAGTTCTTTGTCTACATGAAGAACTTGTTTCCATACAGTAGATCAAACATTTGCATTGGCTGTTTGCAGGAACGTGTGTGCCCTGTCACAGTGACCTACAGACAGAACAACGTCCCACATTAGCTGTGTTGCTAAAGTCTTCTTTTTATCTAACACGCAAACACACTTCAAGTCCTGCACCACAATTTGTTGAGTGAGCAACTGAACAACATTCACACAGGAAAAGTGCTAATGTCTTTTTTCAGGCTAGATAGACAAGTAATGATCTGCTCAGCTAAAGCAAGTTAAACAGCGTGTAAATGGACCTGCAAATGTCACATTGGTCTGTTTAACTCTTCAGCACGACTAATAACACACTGTCTGTCTGTGGCTTATGGCTACAGCACAAGTTTGTTCACTCTTTCTTTATGAGTATATCTGGTATTTCACCAAAGATCCTTTTTTATTTTAACAAAACAAAACTGTTAAGTTTGATAAAACACATTTTTTTATTCACTTTTAGTTTGACTTTATTTAAATATACAGGATTTCATTAGGAAAAAGAAATATTGGTGGAAATTCCCAAGAATTAACATGAAGTTTGTGTTGCAACATGAGTTTTTCTTATTGTCAACCCCTTTAGTGTCATTTTGAGACTCCACCACCTCCACCTCCTCCTCCCAGGACAGGAAGTACTGCTCTACAGTCCACAGTCGAGGCTTTTCCACTGACACTTTTGGCCAAACCATGCTGCTTTGATTTGTGTTTCCATTACCCGTTTAACATACTAAGTTGTGCCAAGCTGCACCCGAGATAAACCATCTCCAGAGTCACGTTAAAGCGCACCTGACTGCCTCCAAGCAGGTAGAGGGTGCATGCACCAGACAGGAATGTGGCAACAGCTGACTCCACACGCCTTCCTCTGATGATTTTGGCAGGGAATTGTTCATAAATTCAAAAAAATATTCAGCACTCTGCCGGTGCTACGCTAAGTGAGTGCTCTGATTAATAAATGTATTTTTAATTTTGAAACAACCAGCTTGGGGCAGGTAAACTCTGAATATGAACTGTGTGTTGTTGAAGCAGAATTTTTCCAGCCAAGGTGTGTGCTTCAGTCTAACTACCAAGTTTTGAACAGTACTGTTGAGTAAAATCTGACATGCAGGACAACACACAAGTCAACTCTGTGGTCGACTAACAATAAGGGTGCGTTCCGAATCACATACTTTTTCTTTTTACTTTTAGTAGGTACTGCAGTTGCCCTTAAAAAGAATGAACTGTTGCATGCACACAATGAACTCGTTGAAAATGTTGGTATTGCCACAGCACTACGGTAGATGACAGGCCAAATAATAACAGCTTGAAAATCCATGATGATAAGTAGCTGGTGACCAACAACCGCTGCACAGTGCAGTAATAAACACCACTAAAGAGCACGCTGGTTGGAAACATCATCGACTCAGACAAGCGAATCATCAGCTGCCCTTTTGTGTGGAAATGCAAATGGCCGACACGCTGAGTCAAAGTGAGTCAAGCCAAGCCAGCACATGAGTACAGAACAGGGTCAAGTGTCTGATTAACACAAGGAGAAACAGTGACAGCTTTGAACTAATGATGCGCCGCAACTAAGAGGAGGGATAAGGATGACGGGGAGTCCTTCCACATGACACTTCCTGCTCAGCCTGTCATGATGTGTTTTTGAATGTTTGTTTTGACGTGACAAAGGGTTTGTTCTTTGTCATCGAGCTAAACAAGATGTTAAAGCTGATTTCCTGCGCTGTCTGTCTCTGCTCACCTGGCGTGTTCTGTGTTTCCAGGTGCAGGAGGAGCGGATCTTCCATCAGCAGGTTAAATGCGTCATTACAGAGGAAAAGACCTGCAGAGTCTGCAAGAAGAAAATAGGGAACAGGTATTGATTTTAATCTTATTATAATTATTACTGCATGTGACAAATCTGTGAATCTTACATCTCTAAAAAGTGGACAGGTTTTTGAGCACCTTTGATTTTATTATGGAAGAGTCATCATGTAAATCCTGATTATTTTGGATGTTACGGCAGCATCTCTCATTTACATCTTTTATCTCTGTTAATCAGATTCCTCTGTGTGTGCAGTTTCAGTTTTATTAACCTGAGCATGCTTTCATGCCCCGAGCTGCTGTTAATTTCATACCCTGTTCATTTTTCAGACCACTCTTATAAATTTCAATTAAAGGCTTGTTTATGTGCCGTGATGCAGTGAGTAATAATCCTACCGACAGTAAAACATCCTCTGCTGCTTCATCTGTCTCTTTCAGTGCGTTCGCCAGGTATCCCAACGGCGTGGTGGTGCATTACTTCTGCTGCAAAGACCGCACCGTGTGTCCCACTGAGCAGTAACAGCTCCACCTGACAACGACTGTTTACTAATAAATAACCCCCCTCTCCCTGACCCTCTCTGTGGATCTCTACGCTTTGACATCTTTGAACTAGCATCGGAAGGTTGGAGGTGCTCGAGTTAATGGCCAGGCTGTGGAATTGGACGCTTGTATGGAAAGCGCCAAACAGGACTACGAGCTCTCTAACCTGAGTTAACCTCGGACACGGTTGTTGTCATGCGCGACTCACTGAGCAGAAAAAGACCTCCTTCTGGAATCAAAGGCTGAGACTTTCTTTATCTCTGTGCATGAAGTAACAGGAGGAATGTCCGGGTTCGCTCAGCAGGAGGGGAGGAATAAAGACAAGGAGCGAGGTAGAGTCTGACATTTTAAAAGCATGTGTCACTGTAACGCTAGAAGGGATCCACTTCCCTTCACGTCGCCTCGGGAGAAAATGGGCGCTATTGAAAGGCGCCCAGAGGAAGAGGAGCTTTAACAGCAGAAGTTAGCGCTCGTTCTCAGAAGGAGATAGTTACAAGCTTTGGTCAGCAGTTTTATTTTCTGTCTCACTGTCTCCCAGCCCTCCTGTAACACTGTGTGCGGCCTCAAACACTGCTTGATATGCCATAATACGCTCTGCAGGAGTACAGCTAAATGCCTTTTGTGACTCTGAAGATTGTACTTACAGTGAAGTCAGACGTCTGTCAGGATTTCTTTTGTTAGCATGTGCCGGTACTGACTAAGCAAAACAGCAATCGTCTTACAGTGTGTTTGACTCTTTTGTATTTTTATTTAAACATTCGAGGCGGCTTCTCCAGCTAACATTTTTCATAGAGACGTTTTTTCTTTATTTACTGTTTTTACAGTGTGTGAAGGATTTCTACCAGACTACATCCTCTTTATTGCTTTTTTTTAAGCTCTCATCTGTGTTTGTTTAAATGTTTTGCTTTTCCCCTCCCAGACATTAAAAGTTTATGAAGTAGAACTTATTATAAGTGGAAACAGACAACTTTTAACCTTTTCACCCGCCCTAGCGTTTTCAAGTGGTATTATTGTTATCGTTATTGTCCCAAAGACAACCGGTTCGCTTTCTGTTTCATCAGAGCCTCGCAACTACCAACAACACAGGACACACTGCATGTAGCGACTTTGGTTTTTCCACCGTCCACCATTTCCGCCACTGAGCATAATAACGGCACAGAACTTACGCTGATACTCAGTGGTTATTGGGGATTGGCACTAATGGATGTATAAAGAGAACTGGATACAGTGTTGGAAGCAGAGTCCCGTTCATTCGTATAAAAGTTGCTCAGAGGCGTATGAGGCCAAAAAAGTTCAACTTCCTGGGTTTAAAATTACCCAGATCTTTCACGGCATGCCGCCCACGGAGTGTGCACACTAGAGAGTTAATCGGCCAAGCTAACACATTCTCACTCTGACCTCGTTGCATATCAACATTTGGTCATGGACTTTGAACGTCCACATACGGCGTGCAAGGTACCCTGGGTGTGTTGACGTTCCGGGACCATGTCACGTTCTGCCTGTTACATACATTGTCTTCTTTCAAAATACACTTCTGTTTTCACAGGAAATTTAACGTTTACATACAGTCTCAAAATAAACGCATTACGTCGGTACAACACCACGAATTGATGTTTTTTCCCTCAACAACACACGCACGTGGTTGGGTTTAGGAAAAAAGAACAGGGTTTGGCTTTATAATCTTACAGGACGCGAACACCACTCTCTTGGGTGAAAGTCAGTGTTTGTTGGACCCATTGTCAGACTTTTACTGCCTTAACTTTCGTTCTTGTCCCGCCACGTTTCCCTCTGACCCCTCGGCCGCCATTAAACTATAATGGCAACTGGCCGTGAATTCTGGCCAACCTTAAAGGAAAAATTTTTACTTGCTTTCTGACGCTGCAAGTTACCGCCCAAGCGCTGGATTGCGACGACTTCGGAGCGAGACCGGGCTTGCCAAGCAGCTAACCCTCCAGTTTAGCGCACTGCTAACTTAACTAGAAATAAAATTATTTAATTAATTAATCATGTGACTCTTTGAGACTTTCAAATATTATCACACCAAATGGGTCAAATCCCTGTGGTAAAAAGAGCCATTTCGCAGGAGTTGTAATGCTAAAAACACATTTATGAGCGTCTCTTTCCCAGTGCAAGTCTATAGGTAAAGTCTTTATGGGCTCCTTTGCATCACGTAACCAACCCCAAAGTTGCAATTCCACTGTTTGGCCACTACTAAAATTAGCTTCAAAGCCTGACACACTTTCTGGGGCCTGTAACTACCAGGGAAACAAAAACTCTGTCCTCTCCCTGATTTGGTTGCACAATGACTGACGCACTTCCCCTGTGCTGGAAATCAAGCCTTCATTTTCTCTGCAGATTGTACCTGGCTGCAGACATAATTACATAGTAAAAGTGAGGCTTAAGGGAACCAGTCTAAACGCTGATGGTGTCATTATTCTACAGCCATTACATTGTGCAATCAATATTTACTTCATAATGATAAGTTAAAGCAAGGAACTTGTCTGTTTCTACTTGTAAGTGAGACTGTGTAACTTTTGAACAGCAGCAAGGGGGAAACAGGTGTCCCTCAATTTCCCACAATTCTCCTCTGTTGCTTTAATTACGTCATTGTAGAGCTGCAGTGATTCGCTAATAATCAGTCAGTCGAATGACAGAAAATAAATCTGTAGTTATGTTGATTATCGATAAATCTTTTTTAAATCTTTTTAAGCGAAAATGCTAAAAAAAAATGACTGGTTCTAGCTTCTTAAAAGCAAGGATTTTCTGTGTTTCTTTGTCATATATGACAATAAATTAAATGTCTTTGGGTTTTGGCTGTTGATTGGATAAAAGAAGACATCACCATGACCTTAGAGGAACTGTGAATGATGTTGAAGACTTTATACACTGAAGGATTAACCAAGAAATTAAACAGCAGATTAAGTTGATAATGAAAAGAACAGTTCTTTGCAGCCCTACATCACCGTGACAATGAGTGCTACAGTAGCTCAAATGGAGATGAGTTTGCCAACATTAGGGCCAGGACACATGCTGTATCTTTAACCACCTGGAGGACACAAGGTCAGGCAATGGATGCTACTCTGTGCCCACTCTGTGCCAACTTTCAAGAGCACGGAGGCAGGTTGCATCTTAAGTTGCTAAGCGACAGCAGCCCACCTACTAGAAATCCCAAGTTCTTAGCTCATCAGCTCCCGGCAGTTGTTTTGTTGGTGTGTATTAGGCCTGAAATGTTGTCCGTGGGACTGATGTAAAGCTCCAGGTAGCCCTGCACTGAAATAATCAACTCCAGCGTATTTATCACAGACTGATAGTTACAGAAGAAGGAAAAGATATCTGTCGGCTGTGATTGGTTGTTCCTTGTCATATGACATCTGGTGTGTGTTGCTGTAAAGTCAAACTTTGTTTATCTTAGGCAAGAGCGCTTGGAAACACTTGCTTTTGAGCACACGTTCAGCATGACTACTTTGAAAACAGTGTGTTTTATTGGTTATGATGTCAACTTTGTATTTGTCAGAGGAATTTATTTCTTTCAGAAGTCACAGTCTCACTTGGAGTCAGATCACAAAATTACAAACAGCACTTTAAAAGTGGATGGATGTTTAATGTCAAGTACTAGAAGTGATGTCAATGATCGGGAAGGAGTGATTGATCTGTGTTTTAATGGCAATAGTGCTAAAATAATGTGTGTTTTCCGTCCAGCTGGGTGGAGACTCAACAAGCAGGACTCCCCAGATTATTGACAACGAAATACAAGCAATGAATGTATGTTTTTAAAGTTGGAGTCCACGGTGTCATTGTTCAATTGAATTACATACATTTACTTTCAACTTGTTTTTTTAACCACTAAGTCTTTACACTTTTGTGGTCGCATCATCTGCATCTCCTGCTCTTTCACACACCCTCACCCTCCTCTTCTGCTCGAGAAAGGTTTGCACATATTCTCTGCTCAGACTGTTCATGAATTGTTTTTTGTTTGTTTGTTTTAGTGGAAGTGTTGGTCCCCCTGTGTGTATACTCTACAAAGACTGAGAGTGTTAATGAGAATTTCTCATTGAAGTTTTTTGATTGTGAGGGGCGACCCAGCATGTACCATATGTCTGTCCATCTGTCTGTCTGTTTGGCTTTAATCAGTAATAAATAAACATTTCCACTCATGTCTGTGTGATACAATGCTGCCTGTCAGATATTTATACTGAAGCTGCTGGATTTCACTGTGTACGACTTATTTTTGCTCACATGTGGATTTAGTCGATGCAAGAGTTAGTTTAGTTTAACATTCATGAAAGCTGAATATGATGTCGTCTATGTGAAAATATATTTTTAGGACGATTTGATCCAAAATGTACAGAAGCCTGTTAATGGCAGGAGGAAAGTTAAAAAAATAAAATAAAAAGATACTGCGTCAAACAAATACAACTTTCAATATATATACTAAATGGATTTTTTTAATGATCTTTTAACTTGATAAAATCTTATTTACATATTTATTAATTATTTAAAAATATTGACTCAGGTAAATCTAAGTTTTCATGTCATGAATTTGCTTTCTAATATCTTAATTTTGACTTATTTATTTAATATTTCATTATTAAAATCTTTTAAAATTACTACATTTTTGAAAAAGTTATTATTTGACACATCTCAATTCTGAAGCAATAATTATTTTTTTTTACAAGTAAGCCAACGTTTATACTAAGTAATAATTTTGACATAATTATTCCACATTATTTTATAGTTTTTCCATGTTGAGTTAAATTTTTTTGCAGTGTCTCTTAATTTTATATTTTATTTTAATTTTTTAAAATCTTTTAATCTTAATTTCAATTATTTTTTCTTAATTTTTCATTGGTCTACAGTCCACTCTGCCTTCTAGTTGTTCCTGAATATATTACAATTAACAATTTTTATTTTTTGGGCAGTAATGAACTTCCATATAATGAGACATAAGCCACTTTAAAAAAAAATCTATTTACACTGTCGGAAATTAAATACACCCTACCCATATCTAGACCCTGTGCATATGTGCAAACTGAATTATGAACTCATTAGATATTGAAGCTGTTGTTTTTTTCTTGTCAAATTTAATTTTGTGTGTGTGTGTGTGTGTGTGTGTGTGTGTGTGACATTTTAGATTAGAGCACTACTTCTTGTTCCCATAAGTAAAGAAGAGTGGCTCCACTCCAGTTATCTATTCATGGACAGCCAGCATCCCCATCTCTCATCCTGAAGTCCTCTCCCCCAGATAGGCCCATTATCCTCGGGGCTGAGGTACCAGAGAACACATACACACACACACACACACACACTGTAACTCGTCCTGCTAATGGTCTTCCTACACTGAGCCGAGCCAGCTGGAGTAACAGAATCACAACAGCCCGACTGCTCAGCAACGCAGTTAGTCACACACACACCCTGAGAGAGAGAGACGTCTGCCAGCTGCCCTCCACATCGGGGCCTTGGCTGGATCCTGATGACTCAGTTGTCTGGGCTGGATCAAGCCTGAGAACCAGGACCAGCAGAATATGTAACAGACACATCACTGGAGCATACGAAGAGCTCCGACAAGATCGTACCAACGTCCCCTGTGACTTTGAGAAAGCAGTGTCCATGAGGCTGAGAGAAACACTGAATAATTCATCACGCTCTGAATTATTGTAGCTCTCCGTCTGAGTGTGTGTGAATGAATGAGTGTGTGTGTTTTTACTGGGATGCTGTAATGTCTTGGAATGGTGCACCACTGTGCAAATGGAAAAGATGTTCCAGTTGGACGCTGTGAGCCCAGCAGGCAGGAGTTTGCCCAGTTTTAACTCTTGCCCACCTCGGCTTTATGTTCTGCAGAGCTGGCAGGGAGAAAATACCTCCTGGGTTTTTATGGAGCACTCGTTTGAGCAAATACTCTGCAAATTATGACGGCGGTGATGATGTGATGAGTGATTTTAAGATGCTGAAACTTCCATCTGGTTTTTGTTTTGTTTGTTTGTAGCTGTGTTGGCTGTGGCTCCATGCTTGGCAACGCTGGTCCATCACTCTGGTTTTCAGTGACATTTCTTGACAGTTAGAAGATGGATTGCTGTGAAATTTTGTGCAGACACTCATGGTGCCTCGAGGATTAATCTTAATCACCTTGGTGCTCCTCTGACTTCTCCTGTAGCGCACCAGCAGGTAAAAGTTTGCACTATTTGAGTGAAATATCTCAATCATCGAATGCTTAAAAATATCAGACGTGGCCACCGTGACCTTTTGGTTTGGGGAGTCCCATTTTGAAGCCTCAAGTCTGGCATTTTGGCCATCGCTGTCTCTGTTTTTTGGAGCAGAAGTGACCATATTTGGACGAGAGGTGGATCTGACTGAAGACAATGTTGGCATTGTGCGTAAACTATGAATACATCATACTTGGACATTTCATGTCCTCCTGAGACCCTGTGTCCTCATATGAGGACATTACAGTTGGGGTTTACTGGACCTTCTACTTAATTCTGCTCAATTTAGGCCTGTTGTCCTCGTTCGTGGACACTTTTTGATGCCATCTAGTGGTAGTAAGACCACAAACTAGACGGCAGCCATCTCTGCCAAATCAGGCTGCAGCCGAACC